GACAACCCAAACGAGGGATAGGGGATGAGGACAGGGTCTCTTTGTGTGAGTCAGTTTCGCCTGCGGAAACGTTCAGGGCTCCCTAGAGGGCACCCAGTCCGTCTCCGCAGCCTTGCCCTTGGGGGTCTCCGGCATAGCGAAGATGCGCAGGTGCGCAGGTCCGAGCCGCAGGAGATCACTGGAGGTGGCAACTCGTCGGAGCTTCCGGGGTGACATCTAGGGAGCCCTGAACGTTTCCGCAGGCGAAACTGACTCACACAAAGAGACCCTGTCCTCCTCCCCTATCCCTCGTTTGGGTTGTCTGTTTTCTTTCTTTCTTTCTACACAAAGAGAATCAAGACAAAACTGCTGCCGCTACACAAAGATCAAGCTACGGTTGGCCCCAGCCGACCCGCTGTGAACCTCGGTCCTCGCGGGGGCCGCGGATGGGCCCCTCCACCCTTCACGTACGGATCATGTAGTCCCCACAATCGCTGTCGTGCCCCAGGGGCCGAAGCTCACCGCAGGGCCGTCGGGAGGCTGGGTCTGTCAGCAGGCGGGGGGGTATGGTCTCGAGGTGGGTTGCGCGAGCGTACCATACCATACCCCGCAGAAAGTCCAAACCCTGAGCGCGAGGTTTTTTTATTTTGATCACTTCAATAATAGAATACTACGAAACTCCCTCGTTTAGAAACAAGCGAAGGGACACACACACACATGCTAAAGACACGCTTGCACACAACATACTAATTCTTCATAAATAAATAAATACAACGGACATCCCAAGCTAGGGCTGGGTCGAGGACAGACACGTCCCCACCTTTGCAGGATTTTGCAAAAGCGAGGGGGGAGGGCGCATCGCCGCGCGGAGAGGGCTGGGCACAGGGCACAGGGGATCTCTCTCGCATAGGATATGCACTCGGCGGCACGAGGGCAAGGCTGGGCGTCCTATGTTTGTGCTCCCCCCCGGACCCCTCGCTCTCGGGCACTAACCATCTGACCACTCATCGACGGGGCTTGGCGAGCGGCCGCGCTGCGGGGCAGGGCTGGTGAGGATGGGCTCTGGCCACTCGCCCGTGCGGTTGTAACCGCGCATCAGCCGAACGGAGGCCTCGACCGCCCCTCGCGGCAAGCTCTCGAGCATCTCGAGCAGCTCGCCCGCCGCCATCGCCGCCTCGAACTGCTCCCTCATGCCGAGCGCGCCGCATACCCTGCGGACCGCCTCCTGCTGCACCTCGTCCGGCGTATCGGTTTCATAGCCGGACGAGTCAGCGGAGGCGGCCCGCTTGGCGGGCGGAGAGTCGGGCGACGGCGAGCGCGACTGGCGCGAGGGCCCGCTGCCGCGCGCGGACAGCGCGTTCTTGTCAACGAGACGGGGTCCAGCATCGGCACGGCCCCTGGCACCGCGGCCCTTGCCGCGCTGCTGCTGCCCACGCTTCCTGCCCGGGTTAGGGACAGTGAAGGAGCAGCCGCGCACTCCGCCGCCGCTGGGCGGCGGCGGCACGCGCGCGGCGGCGGCCGGGCCCGCAGGCGCGGCGGGCTGGCCACCCGCGGTGGCACCCTAATAATTCTTCATGTTCTCGCGGTGTGAGGTTCTTGCTTTTCTTCCTGTCTGTGAAAAGGGAAAGGTGTAGGAAACTCGAGAGTTGCGGCGCTGCCTCCGAGGGGGCCGTGTTTTGCCGCCGCTCTCGCCGCCGCCGCTCACGCCGCCGCCGCTCACGCCGCCGCCGCTCTCGCCGCCGCCGGCTCTAGCCACACTCCTCCCGAAAAATGCCGCTGGGTCTCATGCTGATCGTTCCCGCGCTTTTGACGCCGCAGCCTGCATCTCGCAGCCGCCGAGCCGTCACCTCAACCGCTGCCACCGCCCTGGCGGCCTCATTGCTGCGACCGCACCCCGCTGCTGCTGCCGAGGAGACGGAGGCGTCGCTGCTGGGCGAGATCCGCGAGATCCGCAAGCAGCTCGACCTCTCTCCGATCAACGCGCTGCTCGAGGAGGAGCAGTGGGATAAGGTTCGCTCGATCTGGAAGGTGCCTCCAGTCAACTATGCGTGGGAGCAGTCGCAAAACAAGAAGAACCCGCTGCGCAAGCTGGCCGATCTGCGCGACGACGTGGAGCTCTTCGAGGTCGCCGACGAGGTCGCCGCCGCCCTTCAGCTCGCCGACCAGTACTGCTACAGCAACACCTTCATCTACACTCAGCCGGGCAACGGCAAGGTCAAGATCAAGGAGCCCAAGCAGCAGGTGGCGCTCGCGGTTCAAAAGATCGACATGTTCCTGCGGTGACGCACCGCGATGACCGCACGCAGAGCCGCAGGGTGGAGTCTTCCGGAGAGTGGAGAGAGCAGTCAGCTGCTCCTCGTGCAGTCCTGACCACACCCACGCTTGCGCGCGGGTGGCCCTTGCTGCTCCTCGCCGCTGGCCGCTTCCCTCTCTCTGGGGCCCGCCGTGGTCGTCATCGTGCACGAGAGTCGAGAGTTCGGCTTTTTTGTGGTTACTCGGAATGGGGAAATCGCGAGTTTTCAAAAAGTTTTTTATAGGGCTCTCGGCGCTCCCGCCCGCTTCCTACCACCCCGCTCCCCGGGCGCGAGTCACGTCCCAGCTGCGCCGCGCGTCGATGCGGACGGACATCGCGCCGGCCTGCCGCCCACGCTCTAGAGTGATTGGCAGCCACTGGTAGCACGCGTGCGTGATTGCGTTGAGCGACGCGTCGCCGGGCGGCTGGCAGTGGACCACAGCTCGCTCCAAGTGCTCCAAGTGCGATCCCGATCATCTGTCTGGCCCGCTGGGTGTGCTTCTTAGCCCCCCGGCCCTGGATGAGCGGTTACTGACTGCACTCCAAGTGCTCCGCGATTTTGGCCGACGCGCACACTGTGGAGAGAAGGAAGAAAAGGCGCGCCGCTCGCTGGAGGCGAAGGCACCAGCCAACGAGGCGGACGAGTAGCAATGGATGCCCTGTGTCAGATAGTCCACGGTGGGAGGCGTCTTGCGGTTCGAGACGCCTTTTCGAGTCTCGCCATACAAGTACCAGATTCCGTCGAGCGGCGATCGGAGCACGCACCCACCATGCGCCTCGACCGAGTTGCCGTTGGTGTCATTCCAGCGCACGTCCGACACTATCTCGTGGTGCGTCGTCGCGTCCAATGAAGGGAGGAGCACTATCTCGTGGTGCGTCGTCGCGTCCAATGAAGGGAGGAGCACTATCTCGTGGTGCGTCGTCGCGTCCAATGAAGGGAGGAGCGCGACGAGGATCACGGCGAGGATCATGGCACTTCAAGGTGCTTGTGCCACAGCGATGCCTACGAGTTTTTTCTTTTTTCTTCCCTTTTCCCCCAATAAGCAGAAAAGAAAAGGCTTTCATCCCAAACTGTCACTCCCCTTTCTCCCGGCCGAGGTGGGGCGCGCGCGGGGGCGGCGGGTGTGCGGGATGTCTGTGGGCCCGAGAGCGATTGCCATGTCCGCCTTGCGTTTGTTTCATCACATCGAAGGCTAAGCTCAAAAAGAAAAGAGTCCGGGATGGATCCCTCTCGCTCCCGCGCCAACGCCGCGCGCCGCACGCCGCCGCCGCCGCCGTCTGCTGACAGCGCGCCGGGTGGCGAAGTCCCAAAGAACGTCCTGAAGGCGGCCGAGAACGGCCGATTGGGAGCGGTGCGGTCGTGGCTGAATGAAGGCGGGAAGGCCGACACTCTCGCTGAGCGGCCCTCTGAGGTCAGCGGCCGTCCGATTCCATGCACCCTGCTGATGCTCGCCGCACAGAACGGGCACGTGCAGATTGTCGAGCTCCTCCTGAAGCGCGATGCCGACATCAACCTGCCAACCAGTCTCGGCACCACTGCGCTCAGCGCTGCCGCCTACTACGGCTGCGAGCGAATGGTGGAGATGCTGCTGCAGCACGGTGCGGAGATCGGGACGGCGCTGGTATCGTCCGCCCACGGCGGCAAAGAGCGGGTGGTCGACCTGCTGCTGCGGCATGGTGCAGAGATCGACCTGCAAGACAAGAACGGTTGCACCGCACTGATTCTCGCCGCCTTCTTCAACCACCCCGCCGTCGTGCTCCGCCTTCTCCGGGCGGGCGCTGACATGACGTTGCGCGACGTGAATGGCTTTTCGGCGCTGCAGTTGGCCAAGGAGGAGGGCCACGCCGAGTGCGTCCAGGCCTTCAAGACGTATCTCGGAGAGGTGGCTGCGGTCCGGAGCAAGGCGCCGTCGGCCGAGGCAGGCGGCGCTGGCGCGGCGGGTGCGAGTGCTGCGGCCTTTGCTTCGAGCGGCGAGGGTGGCGCGGGGGCCGAGCCGAGCAGCGGGGTGGTGCCAGAGGAGGTTGTGCTAGCGGCTGGGCGAGGCGATGAGGCGGTGGTGCTGGCGTGGCTCGACGGCGGCGGGCGGGTCAACGCGACGTCTGAGTACGTCTTTTCGAACGGCCCTGTGAGCGGCGTGACGCTGCTGGTGGTCGCAATGGCCCATGGCCACGAGGGGCTGGCCGAGGCGCTGCTCCAGCGCGGTGCGGATGTCGCGTTGCAGACCAGCAAAGGCGCCACCGCGCTGAGTCTCGCCGCCGCGAATGGCTTCGAGAAGCTGGTCGAGTTGGCGCTGCGGCACGGCGCGGAGATCAACCAGCGAAGCGAGTTTGGCATTACTGCACTGATAAACGCCGCCGGCAGAGGCCAGGAGAAGCTGGTCGACACGCTGATCAGACACGGCGCGGCGATCGACCAGCAGTCCAGCGCCGGCGACACCGCACTGATGCAGGCCGCTTTCCACGGCCACTCCGCCGCCCTCCTCTGCTTGCTGCGGGCGGGCGCAGACGTGACGGTGTGCAGTGCAGATGGCAACACCGCGCTGCAGTGGGCCAAGCACAAGGGCCACACTGAGTGCGTGCGCGCCCTCAAGGAGCATGCGGCGGCCGAGAAGGCGGCGGAGAAGGCGGCGGTGGAGGCGGCGTGGGCTGCGGGAGCGGCGGAGAGGGCGGCGCAGAGGGCGGCGGAGGAGAAGGAGGCGGCGCGGCACGCCGAGGAGCTGCTGGCGGAGGTCGAGGCGGAGAAGCGCGCCAAGGGGAAGAAGGGCAAGAAGAAGAAGAAGGGCGGCGGGGCGGGCGGGGCGGGGCCGTCGCAGGAGCCCGAGGAGGGTGCCGAGGCGCCGTCGGAGGCAGACGCAGCCGAGGCGGCGAAGAAGGCCGAGGAGGCGAGGATCCTCCGGCTTCTCGAGACGCTCACCGAGGAGAGGATGCGGCTCGGCATCACGCCGGAGAGCCAGGCAGCGGCGTCTGCAGAGGTGGCCGAGGCGAATCGCTTGGACACTGAGGCGGACGAGGCGGAGGAGGAGGCAATGGCGGAGCGGGAGGCCGAGGCGGCGGCCGAGGCGGCGCTCGCGGCGGCGCTGTCCGCCGCCAAGGAGAGGCGCGCGGCCACTGCCGCTGCGATGGCCAAGGCTGCCGCTGCCAGGATGGCAGCGGATGCGGCCCGGCGCTCATAGGGAGCTGCTGAGGGGAAACCCGGCGTGGCCGCTCTCGGTACGTGTACGGGAAACTCGAGGACTCTCTCCGAGGGCTGTGGCGCCGTGCGGTGTGGTCGCGTACTTGCGTCTGCGTGGTTTGTTCTGCTTCCTGCACGCACGCCGAGCTGCCGCCACTCCTGCATGTGTTTGAGGGGGGGTTGGGGCTGAGAGACCTTCGATCTTGCCGGCTTGAGTGTTGAGAGAACATCTCTACTTGTACTTCTGAGGCATGTGAAGCTTCCCACAGTAGCGTGCCTTCGACCCCACCAAGTTCCGAGCGCTCGGCCCCGCCGTCGAGTGCACGCTCGCAGGCAGCCATCCAGAGCTCGCGCGGCGGCGTGCCCGTGTCCATGCCACGCTCCAAGTGTGACGCCTAGTGCAGACATTGCAGCAGCGTGAACGGGCAGCATCACGCACACCGGGAGGCTGGACGGTCGAGTCGGCAAGTAAACCGAGATGATAGAGTCGCACCTTCACACAAAAGGATTCGGTTAGACCTCGATGAGGTGGTAGTGAAGCCGCGAAGAGTCGCACCTGCCAGCGGTGAGGAGACAAAGTGAGACGAGTGGGCGGCAAACGAGATACGGTGAGTGGCCGTGAAGAGTCGGAACTGTGACGGATGAGGAGACACTCTGAGACGTCACTGTGGCGGACGTGAGTTGAGCGAATATGCACCTGTGACAGAAAGAAAAGCCTTGAGCCGTGAACGAGTCGGAGGTGAGACGCGAGCACCGCCGCCTGCTCCCAGCTGAGCGCGGAGTTGCTGCGTGGACCGTGCGTGCAGGTGGAGGTGTGTGCGACGCCCCGCGAGATGTGCCACTGCCAGCCAAGACTCTCCTCGCGCAGCAGCGCGTGCACCTCGCACGCACGATGGGCGTTGCAGATGAACTTGCGTGCGCTGCTGGTGCCTCGCCCGGTCGGCGCTCGCTTCCACCGCCCGCTGTTACCCCCGTGATCAGGCATGGACTCCAGCGCAGCATCGTCGGTTGAGAAGCACGGGCCGACGGCTTGCCACCCCTTCTGCATGAAGTCTATGCGTGCCTGCCCGCCGCCGCATAGCTTGCGCGGCAGCCGTGTCGGCAAGCTGGCGGCGGGCCCTGCGGCTTGCTGCCGGTCAGCCTCTTCGGGACCGACACCGCGCTCTGCAGCCAGCTCGGTCGCCTCGCGCGTGGGAGCTGCCGCCGCCGGGCCAGGCATGGGTACTAGCAGATGCTTAGCTCAGCTCAAGGCCAATTAGGGAGGCCTTGTGAACTTCACAGCTCAACTTTCTCACATCGTAGGTGTCTACGCTCCACAGCAGTGTTGAAGGCGGGCCTGGCTGTGTCAAAGGCGCGTGACTCGAGTCTTCCCGGGCAGCCAAAGTCGCGACTAAGGGCACCAAGTTGGGTGCCTGACACCAGATGCCTGCAGTCACCTCTGTGCAGTCACCTCAGGCGCTTGGAATAGGCGGGCGAAGACTTTCGCCGCCGCCGCCGTTGTCACTCCCTCCCGCCGCCGCCGCCCTAGCCACCACCAACCAAGCTTGCCGCCGCCGCCGCCAGCCTCGCCGCCGCCACCGAGCCCGCCGCCTCCGTCGACGCCTCCCCATACCCGGATGGCAGCCCTCGCCCGGGGAAGGACCAGTAGCAGAGTGGGAAAGGGATTGGCTCGCGTCCGGCTTCTTTTCTGACGACGGCCAATGCGCGCTTCCAGAGAGGATTCAGCTTGCCCGCGACGTTGCTGCAAATGATTGCACAAGCAACACGATGGCACTACTCAGCGTCGAGCCTTGCGATAGGGGCGGTGCTTGCCGTGTTAAAGTGCGGCTGATGGTGGAGGCGCCAGGAGTTATACTTCGACCCTGTCGACGGGACGGCACCACGCCCCCACAGCAGCAGCGACCACCCGACTGGACGGCGTACACTGATGGGTCGGAAGACGGAAGCAGGGCGGGATGGGCGTACGCGGTAGTCATGGGCGGGGCCTTCCGCTCCTGGCCGGTGGATTCCCACCGTCAGTTGGGTAGCGAGGATTGGTGTGACGCGATCCACGCAGTGGCGCTCAAAAGCGGCTGGAGCTCAACAGCGGCTGAAGCTCAACAGCGGCAACCTTGAACGTACGAGTTTCCGAGTGCCGGCGTGTCATGAGATACGTGTGCCGTGTCCCGACTTCATTTTAAGAACTTCATGGTTTTTCTTCTTTAGGCTCGGCCTCTTTGGGCGGCACGGCGCTCGACCAACCCGAAACCGTGTCTCCTGGCTGGCTATGGTCTCCGGCGCACCACACGCAGGCCCCTCGCCGTCGGCTTGGAGGCGGTGCAGCAGCGCTTCCAGCCGGCGCTCGACGACTACCTCGCCGGCCGTCTCGATGAGGCCGGCTTGGTGGCTGCGACCGAGTGGGAGAGGCGGTGGTACTGGTCTTTCGCGGCGTATGCGCCCATTTTCCGGATCTGCCGCACGCACGGTGTGACGATGCTGGCGCTCGACATGGACTCGGAGGACAAGGCCAAGGTGGAGCTGGGCGGCGCCCTCGAGCCGGCCAAGCGGCGCCAGTACGTGCCGGACGGCGATGGCTTCGAGCGATTCGGAAGCACGAGGGCCTTCGAGGAGTATGTGTCCTACACGCTGCGGCCGCCCTTCACGCTGATGCGAAAGGCCGGGCAGCGCATGACCGCCTCCACCGACGACGCGCGGACCATCAGCTTCCC